TTATGTCTGCATGTAGTGCAGTTCCTAGCCTGCCTGTCTGTTTTTGTTTCATTTTGTTAAAAGAGAACCATTCATCCTGCACTTGAGTCCTCGCTTCATCTCTCCACACGCACTGTGACTGCAAATTATTTAACTAATATTCTTTGTTCCAAAACTTTTTCTTCTTCTGTCAAATCACTATGATTTTGTTCTATGGTAGAGTTGTATTTATTATTTTTTTTTCAAAATCTAAATGCATTTACAATTAAGTAACTATTTATGTATGGACAGTATGCGTGTGCTCCTGTTAATTATATCAGTCAAGAAGGGAAACAAAAGGCAAAAAGAATATAGCCAACATTTATTATTTTTGTTTAATCGATTAATTCCTGTCATAAAAATTTGATATTAATTTAGATATATATATATATATATTAATCTTCAGATCAAAATCAATGTTTTGACAATGACCAGAAAGGATTGGATATTCCATCATAATTTGGAATCATTTTTAAAGAACACTACTGGAAATGTAACCCTAACTGGAACTCTAAGAATCAAATAAGAATTAAAAGGCATTTCACTTAGTCATTCTTATTGGATCTCATTATGATTGAATCCAAGTTATGACAGAAATCCTTAACAGTATTTTTAACAAGACTTTTCACGCAAGCTGTAGGTAGCACCAGAGGTTTTTGATTTAAAGCATTTAACAAAAGAGTGAATGATGACCGGACATTGATGTCAAACGACGCTTATTGGCCATCCAAAGGGCTTCTGTTGGTGTTAGCGTGGAATAAGGGCAGTAAATGAGCGATTTAGAGCCTGGCAGGCGTCTGTATTCAGTCTGCTGATGGAGACACACCGTCTCACCTTTGATTTGTTGTCTCCAGATCCACGCAAGTGTCACTCCCATTCAGTCCCAGCGGTGCGCGAGAGTCACGCAGTCTAGCCGCTATTGTGCGGATCACAGACGCACCTGGACGAGGACAGGTGTGAGCTGCGTCTGCTGGACTCCACTGGCCACATGCTGATACTATTACTAGTTTAAAAACTCATTCATTTAGGTATGATTGCATTCGCATACTATTAACATGTACCGCTATGCTTTTTTTTGCAGTGCAGACCTCTAATACATAAACATATCCATTTATAATAATAATGACACTCATCATCATGAATTCTTTGGTATGCAAACTTTATCTTCACTGAATCTAGAGTAAAATGCCTTCAGCTGTTATTAAGCCACTATCAGTATTCATTGCTTTAGTGTTTGCCAGCTGAGGAGAATCACAGACTTTCATTTCTCACTTCACTGATCAAGTCAGTCAGCTTGTTTTTGTGCATTGTTATTCAAATGTAGGTCCAGGTTACATTTCACCCCAAAATGAAATGTCTGTATATATATATATATATATATAAAGAAATAAAAGTAGTTGTATGGTGGCATTCTTTTCAAAAGATGTTAAGCACATTTCCCCTCCAAATTCTCACTGCTTTGTTTTGTTTTATTTCTTTTTTTATTCTAAGTGATGATTCTGATTAGTTATTCATTAGTGTAATGTAAAATACCTTTGCATTTTTATTTATCTATTTATTTACTTCATTAAAATAGTGAGAAGTGGGATGCAATTGTTATTAACAGGGGGTATTATATCATGTTCTTGACAGGCTTTATGACTATTCACATGTATTCCATTGATCGTATTGTTACTCAAAATACATTTTAAGTAATTAATTGCAGTATTAATTACTATAATTTGTCTTTTTAGAACACTCTGCATATTTGATAAAATAGGTATTTGTTAACATATTTGGACAT